AGATGATGGTGATGGTGATGGAGATGATGGTGATGGTGATGGAGATGGTGGTGATGATGATGGAGATGATGGTGATGGTGATGGAGATGGTGGTGATGATGATAGAGATGATGATAATGATGGCTATACCTCTCCCCTTCCCAGGTGACCACAGAGGCACCGGACAGCAGTCTCAGGACACCCCAGTCCTGGGCCTGGACCTGTCCTTTTCTGGCTGTGAGACTGCCAGCCCCACCACTTCACACTCAGGGCCTCGAGCGTGCAAGGCAGTTCGTTCTTAGAACAACATCAGCCTTGCTTTCTCCCCTGGCTTGTGAGAGAGGGGAAACGAAGCGATAGGCGTGAAAGTGCTCTACAGAACGCCATGGGTGGAACGGATGGCTAGGATTATTTTTATTATTCTAATAACACGAGGGATTATTAAATAGCTTTAAAGGCTTACCATCTGCCCAGCCCTACCTGCATGCACAGCCGCAGAGCCGCAGAGCCACCAAGCTTGCTGCAACCTGACCCTCCACAGGCATTCAACTGTCTTCCAACTCCCCGGCCTCCCTTGCTCTGGCTTGACTCCTCTCCCGTCCCTAGCCATAGCGGCTCTCTGAGGCCTCCTGACAATACTGCCAGGTCTGTGTCGCTCCCTGAATTTGCTCTCTCACCCTCCTCCCATCCTGATCCCCTCCCACTCTTTGGGATTGCTCTTTACTTGAGAAGATATGACTGGAGGGAGGAACACTGGTCAGGAGCCAGGAGAAGGGCACCCTAGGGTAGCCAGCCACCTTGCTTTATTTAGGATTTAGGGGGTCCACAAGAAGTGGGGCCTCCACTGACACTGGGAACATGGCAGGCAGCCTGAGGTAAGTTGGGACCCTGGTCTGGAGCCATGCTTACTTGACTTCTCAGGAAACAGACCAGCGGCTCTCGACCTTCCTCATGCTTCCACCCTTCACTACATCCCTCATGTTAAGGTGACCCAAAGCACAAAAGTATTTTCCTTGCTACTTCAAAGCTGTAACTTCGCGACCGTTTTGAATCACCACGTAAATATCTGATGTGCAGGACATCCGAGGTCACTGGACACCCACAGGTGTCACGACCACTGAGCACCACTGCCTGATCTGTGTACAATGTGGACTTCACACCTGTGAGAGGCGGCCTTGCTGCGTTTAGCTCTTCCGGTCTTCCCATCCCAAGACAACGCGCCCTTGGTTCCTTTCTGAGCACTCATACAGTGCCAAGCGCTGCGCTCTTCTCCTGACCGGCGCTTCTGGCCAGGGAGCACAGCACCTTACACACAGTAGATGCTCAATAAAGACCCGGGAAAGGCTGAGTGCATAGCCCTAAAGCACCTCTACTCCTTGATCCCAGCTGGGCGGCCCTGCTCATCCTCTACCCAAGTCCCAGCCGGAAGTCCCTCCTCTCCTAGGGAGCAGGGACCGGGAATGGCACTGAGTCTTGGTCCCGGATCTGGCCTTTGTGGTAGTGAGACTGAGGACGCCTTAACCCCAGGGCTGCTTTGAGACGGGGTCTCGGGGGGTTAAGGCTAGCCTCAGACTCTCTATGTGGCCAAGGATGGCTCACGACTTGTAATCCTCCTGCCTCCGCTTCCCAAACGCGAGGATTACAGGTGTGCGCCACTGTGACGGGTAGGCAGAAGAGGCAATTCTCACGTCAGTGCTGCCTGTCTCCCTGGGAAGTGTTGGACATTCTTGACATCTCTGAGTCTCTGGAATCTGTGGCAAAGCTGGGACCCTGGCCACTTAGTGTGGCTGAGAGAACCAGAGAGAGGCGGTCTGGCCATTATGTCACTGGTACTAGACGTCTCTTTGGATGGCTTCCCATGATGTCATGGACACATGCTTGCCCCATGGGTGATCCTGAGACACACATCCAGGTGCTTGGGGTCCACCTGACTGACAGATAAGTTGGGCTGCCTTGGGCAGGTCTCTGTCTGTCTTTGGCCATGTTGCCTAGGCATCTACTTCCAGGCACCTCCCACCTCGCCTCTGGAGCCAGGTGCCCGAGTTCCCAGCTTGGTCCTATCATGTCCTCAGATGCCGGCCTGATCTCGGCCTGTTACCTGGCGTCTCCGAGCTTCCTCTGCAGTGTGATCTCAGGAGAGTGGAACCTATCAGCTAGGTGTGGTGTGAGGATTAAGAACAAAAGAGCCTGCTGGGAGAGAGTGAGCGCTCAATAAATATTAGCTAAGGCCCAGGTGTGGTGAATGTCTACAATACCAGTGCTCAGGGGACTGGGGGGGGGGGTGTCGCAAGTTCAAGGCCCACTTGTCTTTAAAGGGCAAATAAGTAAAGATATACATAAAGAAATAAATTCACCCTTCCTGTTAACTGAATTTGTTGAGAATAGTAGAAGACAGGTTCCTTCTAACATGAGCCTTTACCAGGTAGTCAACCTTCCCAGAATGCTCTAGGACTTACTAACTCACCACACAGCAGGGTATCCCCATGCTCTGCCCGAAGGAGGGGAAGGCCCCTCTCTAGTCTGGTCACCTCGGCCCCCCTGGTCATCAGCCTCCACCTGTTCTCACATTTCTGTGCCCTGCTCGCTCGGGGAGTAGGTCACCGACACATTCCCTGAATGTGGCACTGCCCCAGCCCCACCCTGGGATAATGTGAAAAGCTACCATAGAGACCCTGAGGAAGACACAGGGTGGGAGGGCCTGAGAGTCACAGAGCTGGGAAGGTGGCCCGGGAGCCGGGCCAGACTCACCAAGGTGAACACACCCGCTCCGAGCACGGCATAGACGGCGTGCAGCCAGGGCACCTGTGGGCAGAGGAAGGATGGGGTCAGCATGTAAACAGGGCAGCTGGCAGAGGCGCCAGAGGTCAGGGGTGGGGCCGTCCAGAGGATGGGGAAAGCTCAGCAGCTCCTCTCAGGAGCCCCAGGGCTGAGAGAGGCTTGTGACTGATTCTCCCGGTGCTCACAGTGGTGGGACGGAGAGACCCCAGGCAGTTCCCCAGGCTCAGGCTGGCCGAGGGTGACTCACCCTGTTTGCCAGGCATCCTCTCAGCCTCCGTCTGGCTCTAGGCTCCCCCTGCTGTCCCCATCCATCTCTGCTCTACCCAAAAGTCCATCTGTCTCTCCACAGAGAGCTCTGTCTCTGCCCCGGGAGCAGGGGCTCAGGTGGAAAAGTTAGTCAGGTCAGGTATGGAGATGGAGGCATCTGGAGTCTGCCAGGTGGGCATGATGGGCCTGCGTCTGGAGGCCAGAACAGTGCCCCTTCCCAGCTTCTGCTCACCCCCACCCCTCGATTGCTCATGCAAACTCCACAACCACATGGTGCCATGTTGGCCCCACCCTTCTCGGAGCCCTTCCAGAAAACTCTCTAGAAGTCTCCTGGAAACAAAGGCATCCCGTCAGCTCCATATGGGTCAATAAAGGGTTCTTTGAAGTTCTGGGGCTCCTTCCTGTAACCCTCTCCCCATCCTCTACACACAGAGGCCACCAGCCCAGCTCTGGCCCTTCCCTTCGTCAACAGGATCCTGGGAAGAGCCAAGGAAATGCCAGAATCAATCTTGACATCCTAGACTGGATGCCAGCTGCCCGGAGGCTGGGGCTGGCCAGGATGGAAGTGGGTTGGAGGGGATGAGGAACGCCATCCCGGCCTGGCAGGCAAGAGGCAATGGGAGACCAGGTCCCACATGTGGCCGGAGAGGCCGCCATTGAGCAGACCCAACACTTCCTTTCCTCTGTCTTCAGGGGTCAAAGCAATCTGTCCCCCAGCGTTGGTGGCTATAGCTCCTACACAGCAGGCAAAATTCCAGGCAGGCCAGATACCAGCAGGAGACCTGGGAAGAGCCCTCCCTCGGGCGGGTGGGTAGGTGGGGGTCTGTGAGATGGGTCCAGGAGTGCTTCCTGCCCTATTGCCTGGCTAGCCAGACTTGGCCTCTGGTCTTGCCTGGTCCCTTAGAAGGCCCACTGAGCCTGCTGGGTCCCTGGCTCCCCAGTGTATCTTTCTCAGCTTCAGCCCCCCTTCCCCTTCCCTCCACCTACAGGGGAGGCTAGGGAAAGTGAAGCCGGATGCGGCTCACAGAGCTGGGAAGGTGCCCAGGCCTGCCAAGAAAAGCCTCCTTGTTTGCTTGTGTATGCTGCCAGCACACCTGGGGCAGGTGCCAGGAGGGCTGAACAGGGTGGCGGGCCACGGGGATTTGTCTCCGGGCCTGCCCTGCAGGGGTCGGAGAGCATGGCACCCTGAGGGGTCAGGCACCCCACCCTCCTCACGGGGCCTCACGGGGCAGTGGGCCAGGCACTCACGTATTGGAAGGGCAGGAGGACGGCCAGAAGGAGTCCACTGAAGAAGAGGGTCATGAGCAGCACGAACAGCACGCCCTGGCAGGAAGTGAAGTCAAACTGCAGGGGAAAGGGGGCCATCAGCCCTGGGCCCAGAGGCCGAGACCCATGACTTCTGCAGTCACCCCATAACCCTGTGTATTGCTCGCCCAGGTGGTACCCCGCGCCCACTCAGGCCTCTGCCTCTCCTCAGCCCCCAGCCCTCCCCTGCCCTCTTCAGCCCCCAGCCTTCCCCTGCCCACAGGCACCCGGCTGACCTTGGTCTGGAAGCTGAAGATGGTGACTGACAGGCAGACGAGGGCAGTGATGCCAAGGCAAAGCAGCACAGACGTGGTGTTGTAGTAACTGAGGACAGGCCGGGGTCAGCAGGAGTCCTCTCTCCCCCCTCCTCCCAGGACCCCCCTTGACTGCCAGGAGCGGCCCTCGACCTGTGCTCCTTAACCTGTCCCCAGGGCCTCCCACACGCCGCCCTCCCAGGCTTCTCTGTCACAGCCACTCACTATTGAGGTGAAGGATCTTGCACAGGCAGAGGGAGGTGAGTTTACATTGGTGTCTGCGGGCCCCCGGCTTTCGAGCCACAGCATGGGTGCTATCATCTTATTCTCCATCAGCCCTCATGCCAACCCCACCAGCCTACTCGGGTCTTGGAGCCACTGGCCATGTGGTGCCTAAGGGGGCGGCTCCTGGGCCAAGGTGGTCTGTCCGATTAAGTCCCTCCCCCACCCGAGGGCCCCCTGGAAAGATGGGGTTTGCAGGGAGTTTTCTCAGCTGTGGCCAGACCCTGGCTGCATGCCTACCTAGGCCATTCCTGTCTCATTTACCTGGACAACATCCCAGTAAGATAGGCCATGGACAGGGTCTGAAAGGGAGAGCAAGGTGAACAAGCTTCTCTGTATGGACTTGGGGCCCCTGGCACCCTCAGGTTCTAGCCCGGGCCTCCACTCTATGCACACAATCCTTGTGCAGAGCCTGCTTCATTCCATATGGCTTTCTGTTTGGACTGAGGCTACAGTGCTTCTGTGGCCAGCTTGCAGGCTCCTCAGGCTGGCTGTCCCTTCATAGGCAGCCTTGCCCTTCCAGTGAGAACCCTCAATCTTCATTATCCTAGTTCTGGCACACAGTCTCCTGAGGACAAGAGCCCAGGTACACAGCTCAGGGAGGCTGGGGGAGGGCTTCATCCCTTTTAGAAAGGGAAGGTGGGATGTTCTGGTAGAAGACAGGCTTGACGGCCCCGTCCCACTGGGAACCTCACATTGGCTGTCCCAGTCTAGACTCTCTGTCCCCCCTTCATCCCCTCTCAGCATCTGTACCCATCTCAGCCCCATCACTTACAAAGATGGCCAGGAGAATCAGGTTCCAAGGGAAGTGCCTCCTGCAAGGCAAGCCACGGGTTTCAGAGCATGCTCTGCCTCCCGCCCCATCCACCCAGCTACCTCGGGGGCCCAGGTGAAGGGCAGAGGGGCCGGCCCATTTGGCACCAGTTCAGAGAGGGATGAGACCCTCTCAGGGCTGTGACAACTGCCCACCCCCCCATGGAAGGCAGGGCTCAGAGCTGATTTTTAAGGTCCTACTCACAGTTCCACAAGTACCCTCACCCCTAAGTCATGATCATACCTGGGTCCAGAACAGCAAGCCAGGGTCAGGTAGGTTGCAAAGAACACGGCACTGTGTGTGTGAGAGAGAGATAGGTGGGCAAATCAGAGGCTCGCTCACGAGGCCAGCTACCTACTCCTGGTTGGTTCTATTCTGCCACCTCTACCCAGACGACACCAGGCAGGACAAGAGCAGAGGGAAGGGCATGGTCATCCTATAACCGGGCAATGGGCAGTGCGGTGGTCCAGTCCCCAAAACAGAAGGTTCTCGTTGGTGGGATGGGCCCACTTCTAGCGATATTGAATCTTGGGAGTTACAGCCTGTCTTTCTCCACTCAACCCAAGTGACCCCAAAGACCTTTGTTGGTGGCGGCATGTTTGTTTTCGGAGGCAGAGACTCACTCCATAGTCCAGGCTAGCCTTGAGCGCCCATGGATCCTCCTACTTTAGCATCCTGCGTCCTGAGATGGCAGACTTGCACCACCCCACCCGGCTAGGAGACTTAAGAAGCTCCTTCCCTGGGGGCTGAGTAGATTGCCCAGTCACACACAGGGGCTGGGCAGGTGGCTCAGAAGGAAAAGCATATGGCCAGCAAGCGCAAGGATCTGCCATCAGCCCTGGAACCCAGGTGAAAATGCTGGGCATGGTGAGGCGTTCTTGGGGTCCCAGCTCTTGGAGAGGCAAAGCCAGGAGGCTTTCTGGGGCACAGGACGGTGTCCAGCCCGTCCAGCCTCATTGGAGAGCTCCGGGCCAGTGACACGTTTCAAAGGCAGTGACACCCTCTCTTTCCTGAGGACGACACCCAAAACCGGCTTCCAGCCTCCATATGCACACGCACACCCCCACCGATCCACGCACACACATGCGCACACCCATACATGAGCATTACAAATGATTAATTAATTCATTAATAAAAGCGCATGCCGGGCGTTGTGGTATGATGCAATCCCAGCATTCATTCAGGAGGCTCAGATGAGAGGATCAGGAATTCAGGGTCATCCTGATCTACTTACAGAGTCTAAGGATAGCCTAATCCATGTGAGGCCCTGCCTCAGAAATAATGGGTAAACAAAAGGCAAATCAAAAGTCACTACAGAATATATTTTGTGTGCTGGGTATATTTTTTTATTTATTATTTCTCTATGTATAGTTTTCGAGGCAAGATCTCACTGTGTACCTCTCGCTGGCCTGGAACTGTCTACATAGATCAGGGGACCTGGGTTGATGTTTGTTTGTTTAACAGTGTTTAATAAATAAACATGGACACGATCCTCCCTTCTTTATGGACTATGCTCTCCTTTAAAGAGGAGGTCAGGTGACTTCTCCAAAGTCATGAAGCTAGCCTGTTGCTGAAGGACTGAAACCTAGGTGCTCCAGATGCGGACAGCTGCCTTCCAACCACCGCCGTCTGCTGCCTGTCTCGCCGCTACCTGCAGCCATCCTGTTGGTTGCTTTACCACAGTTCTGCCCTACGGGGCTGAAGGCTCAGCACAGGCTGGCCTACCCATGCCTGGCAGAGCAGGCAGTGGAATCCACTTTTGGGTCATGTAGCTAGGTCCAGTGGCAAGTGGCTATCGGGCAGTTGACGGCTAAGAGCTTTCTGGAAAGCAAGGTGCTAAGACCAGGCGATGGAAGATGGTGGATGACCTCCCAAGACAGTTCGCCTACCAACGTGTGACCTTCACCTTCAGCACGGCATGGCCACCCTTTCCCCATCTCCTCAGCATCTCAACCACCCTCCATAGCAGCAATTCCAAACAGCCTCCTCCTTCCCCACATCTCCCAGGCTGCCTTGCTCTCTGCTGTGTTCCAGAAAGATCTGAGATAATGAGGTGCGGCTCCTGGCCCATCACCTGCAAACCTCACGTGGCACTCCCCAGCTTCCTGTCCCTCATCCGTTTCCCAGGTCAATGTCCCCAACCTGGGCTATGGGTGCCAGGCCCTCAAAAGCCCAGTGACATAAGTTGGGGTCACCTCATCTTCCACATCAAGCTCCCTGGCCTCTGCCCATCTCCATCAGCATCTTCCCTGGCTCTAACTCCATCGACCCCGTAAGCCCTCTCAGAAAGCTCTACTTAGAAAGTCTGCAGCCACAGCATCTCTTCTCCATCACTTCAACCCGCCCAGACAACCTGACCTCAGCCCCACGTAATGAGAGCTGGCTTGGTCACATCAGGGTGACCTTGTTGAGTTCGGCTGTCACTTGTTGGTCCCAATGTTACCTGACTTCTCCATGTCTGATCACTCCTATTGTTTCCCTGGTTCCACAATGACACCCTTTTGGGTTCCCTCCTCCCTTCCTGGCCACTCCTTCTTTAAGGAGCCTCTAAGGGAGCTGGTTTCTTCAAAGCAGACTTCTCCTGTCCCACTCCCCTGAGGCAGGCTAGCTCAAAGTATGTGAGGAAGAACCCATATATTAGATCTTCATTTTTCCTTCTCAGCACTAGATTAGAACATCTACTTGGCTGCCCAGACCAGATTCATTGTGGCAGAGCTGAGTTCTGCGTTCTCTCTGCTCCTGTAACCCCCACTGCCAAGGACAGCATGCAACCATCAAGCCACCCAGCCAGAGGCCTCAGCATCATTCTTAGCACTCGCCCTGCCGCGCCCGATTAATCACCTGGACCTGCTCAGCCTCCCACTCAGACCTCACTCTTCCCTTCACCTCCACCTCCCTTTGAAGTTGGGCCACCTCTTTCTCTTTTCTCTCTGACTGGGACTATAGCCTTCCCGCAGCCCCGCCTTCCACCCTCCACGCTTTAGGCCGATCAGATCGCGCGTTTCCCCAAAAGACTTGGCAATGTGTAATGAGAATTCTGGAATTCTCACTGCAAAACAAAACACAGAGCTAGGGCCAGTCGTGGTGGCGCACGCCTTCAATGCCAGCACTTGGAAGGCAGAGGCAGGCGGATCTCTGTGAGTTTGAGGCCAGCCTGGTCTACAAAGCAACTCTAGGATAGCCAGGGTTACATAGAGAAACTCTGTCTCAAAACAAACAAACAAACAAACAAACAAACAAACAAACACACCAAACAACAATAAAACAGAATGTGCTTTTGTTTTGATCCCAGGTGTGGGGATGTGGGGCTGCTTCAGACTGTCTACAGCAGCTGATTATGATTTGCCTCATGCTCTAGTGGAAGAGTGATTTTGCCAGCTGCAAATAGTTTGTGTGATTGTGTGACACTTGGGAACTTTTCAGAGGGCATACATACATACATACATACATACATACATACATACATATATACATACATACATACATACATGTATGTATAAATACTAGGGCCCCAAGTGTTGGGGTCAGTGGTTGTTGGGAAGAAATTAGATTCAAGGAGCTTTGCCTCTCTCCCCAGACTATCTTTCTTTCTCTCCTATCTAGAGATAGGGGATAAAACCGGGAGGATAGAGGAGAACCCACAAAGTAGTAAAAGTCCAGCAGTAGCTACAGCACAGTCCAGTCACCACCGGATCCTCACCTCTGCTGTCACCTCGTCCACCCTCCCCCTTCTCGTCACAACCAGAACATGCCCACCTCTCCATTGGCAAGACTGAGACTGCCTCCACGTGGCTTCCTCTGGAGTACAGACAGCTCTGACTGTGGCCTGCACCCCTGCCTCAGCCAGCTCAGCTCACCTGGCCCCTGCTCCCCTGCAGCAGCTGGAGGACAGCTTGTGACTTCCTTTTCCTGCCATCTCACCTGGAGCCTGACACCAGGCTCTTCAACTACTCCTGGATGAAAGGAAGAGGCCAGATGGGAAACAGTAACAAAGCAGGGAGTGCAGCAACTTGAGGCTTATAGCCTGGAGGTTCTGCTGCAATCAGGTGCCAGGTGCCAGAGCTGTGCCCACCCTCCTGCATATGTGGGACCACAGAACTGTCCTATCCCCGGTGACAAGTACCCTGGCACTGAGCATGGGCTTGGCGCAGGACTGGATTCCTGCATGGGTGCTGCTTACTGCCATTAGAAGCTGGCTGACTGACAGCTTCCCCAGCCACCCTCACCCCAGCCCTAGCCTCACACTTCTCCTCCTCAGCCTGCTGTTCTCTCAGCCCTCTGCTCTGCTACAGACACCATGCTCGGTGGGAGCAATCAGACAATAAGGAGAGAAGCCATGGAGACGACAGGGACCTTGAGAAAGCCAGAGCTGCTGGGGCAGAAAGAGAGGGGTTGAGTGTGAGCGAGAACAATTGGTTTCTTGTTGAAGCCTCAGCCCCAGGGCCAGGGACAGTCTATTCAGTGTCAGGATGGGGATGGGACTCAGGTGAAGACCAGGGACAAGCCCTTTCCCATCCGACTTGCCCTAGCATCGGGGCTATGGCCAGCAGACCACAGCAGGCTCTGATGTTCAGGAAGCAGCTTCTCTTTGCCTCACTTTCCTCACCTGCGAAACGGAGGTCATAACAGCACTTGCTTGGCAGGGTTTTGGAGGGATGACTGAAAAGTACATGTGAGACACTTGGCATTGCGCCATATGCATTAAAAAGAGCTGTTTTATTCTGCTCCGAATGCTGTTCCGACAGGAAGAGACAACAAGGGAGCCCTCGGGGAGCATTTGATATACTGGAGGTGAGAAGGTGAGCTGCAGGGGCAGGGTGGGGAGACTACAGGGCTGTGGAGGGCAGGGTAGACCCTCAAGTCTACCTTCTGCAGGAAGAGGTGACATGCTGGTGCTGGAACTGTGCGGCATCCCAGGAGAGCAAGGTCCCTGCCCACTTCCCTCCTCTCTCCATCCTGTTCCCGCCTCGCCCATCACTGCCTTCCTCTTAACCTTCACCATTCCAAGGACGCTCCCTCCCTCCCGGCCCCTACCTCTTCAGCACAGTTGGACTGTTCCTGCCTCTACAAACTCAGGACATGGAATCCCACAGACTACGTCATAGAAGAAGGGCCCAGGACACCATTTCTGAAGTCTCGGGGGAGAGGGGGCTAAGCCTGCCAGACGGTGCTGACGTTCCAGGAGCCATGCCAACCTGCTGTGTGCTGGCTGAGGTGGCCATCCCTGGGGCCTCATTAGCTGCGCACACAGCACCTTCCAGCTCCCCAGAACTCAGCCCTCCCTGCTGGGTGGCTGGCTGTCCCTCTGTCCTGTGTCCTAGGAAAGACTGTGTATGGACGTCCTCACTCCTGGGATCCCAGCGAGAGCCTCCTCAGAGTTAGCCTGTGGCCTGCTTATGCCAACTCTAAGCCCAATGTTAAGACCACACCAGGCTCTGGTGGCTCAGGGCCTACGTGCTGAGCCCAGCTCCACACTTGACCCCTGTTCAAGAACAGGCTGGGCCAGTCAGTGTGCAGGCTCCACTGTCATGCTGTGTCACGATGCTTAGCCTCCCAGGGCCCCACTGCCCCCTGAGATGGCCTTCTGTCCCTAGCCCCTAACAGAGGGAGCACACCGCAGTGCTCTCACTCCCAAGCTTTCTGCTCGAGCTGCTCCTCTCTTGTAGCTCCCAGCCCTGGTCTGCACCACCTCCGCCCTCACCAAGTCCCGAGCAAGTTCCTTTGCATCGGCCACCACCCACTACCCTGCCCTACAGGCACAGGCCTCCTGCCCGGTAGCTCTAGCACAGGGGTGCCTCGCACTGGGTGCCACCGGGGACCACGGAGAGGGCGGTTTTCTGAGTGTGTGATGGTTCTGGTCCGGAACACCAACAACTGTTCCTTAGTTACCAGGAGGGAGGGTCCGAGTCGCCTACAACATCAAGCCTCCTCTTGAAACTTGCCTGCCATGTTCCCTCAAGAGTCCAAGACTTGGAGAAGCCAAGCAGCTGGCAGGCAGCAGCATCTGCCAGCCAGAGGGATTAAGAGCGCAAGTCTTAGCTTGAACCCAACTCCGCCACTGACTAGCTGTGTGATCTTGGGCAAATTACCCAACCCCCCGAGCCTTAAGGTTTTCTGAGGAAATCATAACCAGCAGATTTGAGAATCAAATGCAATACTGTACATCAAGCACACAAAACAATGCCCAGCCCTTAATTAGGCACTCTTTAAGAGGTGGCCCTTATGATTAATAATTTCATAAGCATTAATAACAATGTTAATAGGAGCAACAACATTATTATAAGGTCAAAGTGTCCCAGCCCCTTCCCTCATAGGGTCAAGATACCGGCCCTCTCTCCATCCAGGGCCCTAGCCCCACCCTCGCCAACTTGTGTAGGGGCTGACCCCTGCCCCCCAATTCCAGCTGTCCTGCCAGATCTGAGCAATCCAAAAGTCACCCCTGGCCATGCTGGGGGCCTCTGAGGTCCTCCCCTTGGAATGTGGGACTATCGTGGCTTGGCCCAGTGGGCATTTCTAGGAAGGGGCCTGGGCGGGGGCATACTCACTAGGACGCCCAGTACCAGCCTGGGTTGGCCTGGACGTAGTCCTTAACGACGTCACTGTAAAAAAGACGAGCAAGGTCAGAGGTTACCCCCGGTCTGTTTCTGTTCAGTGCCTGTGCCTGCCCCACACGGGCTCAGAGAAAGGAGGCAAGACCAGGCTCTAGATGGCCAGGCCTGCAGGGGTGACTGTGGAGCCATGCCAAGTGATGCCTCACAGAGGCCTGCGGCCTGGAGGGCCCACCCCACACTGTCTGAGAAACCTCTCACATGGTGTACAATCGCCATTCTTCCCCAGCGTGAGGAGAACCAATGGGCCCCTCGTCTCTCCAAGTGGACATTCCAAGAGAGGTTTGATAGAGTGCCCCCACCCCAAGCCTAGCCACAGCCCTCCTGGAGGGCATCAGTCTACAGTGGACTCACCAGAAGGTGAAGAGGGCCACGACAGCCAACGTCACCAGCAGCTGAACCAACAGAATGGTATAGACCTGAGGGAGGGGTGGTCAGTTTAGGGACTGCTGAGCCCCAGCAGAGAACCCAGACCACCCTGTTGAACACTCTCCTTCACAGGGGTCACTGGGCAGATCCAGACAGGTGGAGGGACAATTCTGCCAGACCCTCGGGTGGAGCGGTCCACAGAGCTGGGAGGACAGGGAGCAGGGGCCCTGGCTAACACCTCAGCAGCACAAGCCAGCGGGAGCTGTGGGGTGAGGCGGCAGGAGAAGGGGGCAGGACCAGTCCAGGGTCCTTCTAGGGGTTTCCATCCAGGGCCCCGCCCCCTCACCGCCCTCTCTCCAGAGCATGGGCGAAGCGGTCACCTTTCTGACGAAGAGCCGGCGAACCTTCTGGTCGTCCCAGCTGAAGGTGGTGAAGAGCGCGTGGTTCCCTGTGGGGAGATCACCCTCGTAGCTGGAGCTGCTGCCTGGGTGGGTGGGGGGATGCTGTGAGGGTTCCCCACTAGCCCAGCCTTCCCGTCAGCCTGGCTCTCCAAGCTTCTGAGGTCTCTCCAGCCTCACGGTAAGCGCCCCCTTTGGCTCACCCCTGCCACCCTGACATCTGTCTGCCTGATTACTTCTTGTTCTCCCTGCTCTGATCCCAATAATGAGCTATCTCCTGTCCTCCCCCTCCATAATGGCTGGGGCTCTAGGGACCAAGTTCTGCCATACAAATGTCCCTTCCCTCCTTGTCCTCATGCCTCTCCCTTGCCACTCCAGCTCCTGGACAGCCAGTTCTCCCAGCCAGTCAAGGGGTCCTAGGACCAAAGATTCTGACCCTGGCTGCTCTAAGGCCTGGGATCAAAGGCTGGACGGAGGTGCTGAGCCTGCTGGTGCTCAATTGCAAACCAGGGCCAGTGGGGGCTGGTGGGAAAGGAGGCCAAGAAAGAGCAAGAGTGCAGTGGGTGTGGTCCAGGCCTGGCCCCAGAGCTCTGGCCAAACAGACCCACAGGTGGATGTCCCAGCATGCGGGACAGCTTGTGTGACCCTGAGCCTTCTGAGTGCCTCCTGGTTTGGGCAATGGGCCTACTTCATAGGGACCAAATGAGGTAAAACAGAAAGTCTGCACGTTCTGCCTGCTGGGACCATGCTTTCTTTGCCCGAGCTCCCTCTCTAGGGCCGTCCTCAAGCCCCGAATGTGTCTACTCTGGTCCCCTCTTCTAGCCCCATTAGGTCTGGCTAGTCTTTCCCTATTCCCCAGCCACAGCCTCTGCCTTAGTCTCTCAGAGATGGCCACAGCACTGCCCTGGTGGAGCTCTTCAGTGGTTCGCTCAAGTTCAAGTTCTTTTCTGTTTTGTTTCCTGAGATGCGGTCTCAAGCTGGTCTTGAGTTCATTCTATGGCTGAGGATGACCTTGGGTCTCTAGCTCTCCTGCTTCCCTCTTCTGACACGTGCCACCAAGCCAGGCGATTTTCAGTTCCTTTAACAAGGGCAGGGTGAGCAGCGGTTTCCAGCCACCTCCTTACCCTGATCTGCCCTCTCTCCCATTTCTCAGCCTGACAATATTTGTTCAGTCGCCTGCCTACTTGCCCCTAGACCAAGCCCACCCAATGCTTCCGAAGGAACATTCATTGTCGGTCTCCTCACACGCTAATTTGAGACACTCTTCAGAGCTCTGCATGGAATCTTTCCTGACGGGTCAGACATAGGTCACCCCTGTCTCCACCAGTGGTGACGCTCCAGGATCCCAGCCGTGGCACCCTTGATGCCTGGCTGAGCAGCCTGCAAGGCCTTTGCCACTGGCTGTGAGAAGGGACCCTTAAGCCCTCAGCCGTGGGCTGGTGAGGTAGCTCAGCTGTCCCTTGCTGACTCTTGGTCCCGGGAGCTGGAGTGTCAGGGCACAGCAATGGGGACACAAGAGTGAAGGGACATTTATATGGCAGAGCTTGGTCCTCGGAGCCCCAGCCATCATGGAGGGGTGGGGGAGGATGGGAGATAGTTTGTTCTGGAACCAGAGCAGGGAGAGCAAGAAGTGATCAGAAAGACAGCTGTGGGGCTGCAGGGGTGGGCCAAAGGGGGTGTTTGACAGTGGGGCTGGAGGGAAAGGCTTCAGAAGCCTAGAGAGCCCACCAGGTAGTGCAGGGAGCTGGCCAGCTCTCTGTGGCCGTTAGCACTCAGCGCGGACAGGACTCTGCAGCCCCGGGAATGAGCTCAGGCATTTCCCAGGCCTCCTTTCTGCCACAGCTGCTTAGAGGGTAAGCCTTAAATAAGGCTTCCATCCCCGAAACCAGGGCAGGAGAAACACTGGGCGAAGGACACTCCTCCGCTCCCGACACCACACCTTCATTGACCTTCCAGTTCGACACACTGGAGTGAGGTAGCTGGACCCTCCAGTTCACCACACTGGAGTGAGGTAGCTGGGCCCTGGACCAAGGGATATATTTGGAAGTGGCACGGACCATGGCGGCCGCGGGCTCCTTAAGATCAGGGGCTCTGGGGGCAGAGGCTCTGTGTCAGGGGCTCTGTGGACAGAAAGGCTCTGTGTCAGGGGCTCTGCGAGCAGAAAGGCTCTGTGCTGGAGGGAAGGGGGGAGAGTATTGTGCTCAGATCCCTTCTAGAACCTTTCAGGCGCTGAGAGTGTCACAGCGGGGGAGGGGTGGCAGAGGGGCAGCAGAGAAACCCTGAAAGGTCTGAAAGATGAAAATTTAAAACGTGTGTTATGATTATAAGGAAGCGCCTTGTGCGACTATGTATGTACATGTGGGGGTGTGTGTGTTTATCATTAGGGTGCATGCATGCTAGGAAGCACATGTGGAGGTCAGAGGTCATCTTCCAGGGGCCAGTTCTCTCTTTCCACCTTCTGCCCTAGAGCCTGGGGAGGACACTTCCTTAGGTCATCAGGCTCTAGTGGAGAGGCGTGTTTACCTGCTGAGCCATCTCACCAGCCCTCAGCTGAGGACTTAAGGGTCCCTTCTCACAGCCAGTGGCAAAGGTTTGCAGGCTGCTCAGCCAGACACCAAGGAGCCACGCTGCTGGTTTCCTGGAGTGTCACCATTGGTGGAGATGCTGGCGACGTATGCCTGGCCAGCCACGGAGGCTAGTTCCCACACACCTACTCATGCTGTGCCTGCCCCCTCCAAAACCTCGAGAAGGGTGGGGAGATGATGGGAGAGGTTGGGAGGGGAACCCCAGCCCCTTCATCTCCGCAAACCCCAGGTCTTACAGCGGCCTGACAACCAGTCACTATATAAATTCTGTACCCCACTCGGAGGGCACCTGCACAGTGGAGGTCACGGTCAGGGCACGGCCCTACACTAACCCTTTCTGACCATTCTGATCTCTGCCAACCCCTGGTCTGTGTCTCTTCCTTCTATGAGGACCATTAATTAATTAATGGCCTCAAACTCACAGATGTCTGTTTGCCTCTGCCTCCCAAGTGCTGGGATTAAAGGCGTGTGTCGGATCCCCTGGACAGGAGAGCAGGAGCTACAGGCAGTTGCTGGGCATGGTGGTGTACACCTTTGATCCCGGCACTCGGGAGGCAGAGGCAGGCGGATGTCTGTGAGTTCAGGGCCAGCCTGGTCTACAGAATGAGTCCAGGACAGCTAAGGCTTCATAGGGAAACCCTGTCTTGGAAAAAAAAAGAAAGAAAAGAAAAAGAATAAAGACGTGTGTCCCCACTGCCAGACTCTGTTAGGGCCTTTTTAGACTAGACTTGGCTTTTGTCCCCATTCCAGCTGGCAAAGCTCAGTGCTTTGTAAAGAGTCCCCCCTTCTCTAGCTGAGCGCACACCGACAGGACGTCTCTCCCCGTTTGTAGTTCTCCTTGACCTACCTTCACAGCGAGCCCGGAAGCCAGTGTCAACTGTTCTGCATGGCTATACCTCGAATGTGATGTGTACACAACCTCCTCCTACAGGCTTTCCATCTGCCCATTGCTCCCTCTATCCCTCCAGCCTCTGGTTGCTGAGAGACTTACTGGGGTCCACATAGGCCCAGCTTGGATGGAGAGGCACAGCCATGGGGCCTTGGGGGAAGGCCCCTGCCTTCAGCCCCTCTCCAGACGTGGCCTCCTCATAGGAGGGTGGTGCCGAGGGCGCTGCCGGGGCCTCCTTCTTCTCGCCATTTGCCTGCTGCTGCCCCTCAGTGCCGGGGGCCTTGTTAGCCACAGAAAGCTGTAAAATAGAGGCAGAGGGAGACAGTTACCAGGGGCAGAGACTCCAGCCCCTTGACTCCTGGACTCTGACTCAGTGCTCTTCCAACCTGTGCCAGGGAGGGGACAAAGAAGACCCACCCCAGCTTCACAGCCCAAGGAACTGTGCTCAGCAGGGGTGGGGCGGCCAAGAAGAAGACAGGAAGCAGGAAAGTCACAGGAGTGACCACCTGGGGAGGGGGCTGGGCCTCCATGGGCCTCCAGTTGCCCTGTGGGAAGGGCCTGACCCATAGGAGATCCTATTATTAAACAGATCTTTCTCCCGTTTCATTGTCTTCCCAACTGGCTAACTGGATTCAGCCAATTTTATTTTACATTATCTTTATTTTGTTGTTTGTTTGTTTGAGAAACAATGTCTCACTATACAGCCCTGGCTGTCTTGGAACTCTCTATCTGTAGACCAGGCTGGCCTCAAAACTCAGAGATCCTCCTGCCTCTGCCTTCCAAGTGCTGGGAGTAAAGCCATGCACCACCATGCCTGGCTATTCAACCAGTTTCAAAGCGAAACCCAGAATGAGACAGAAAGAACGACATCTAAAATCCCAAGGGCCACACGTGATGCCCAGGGCCGCAGGGCTCAGGCTCAGTCCTTGGGGATAGGTTGCTCTCTGTTGGGCTGGAAATACAGGAGGGGAGTGAGATGGGGAGAGAGAGATGGGGAGAAAAGAGATGAGCCTGCAGGGCAGAGGGAACGCAGGCCCTGCAGAAACAGCCTTCCCCAGCCAGAACAAAACAACAGTGTTGCAGCTGGAGTGCTGAAGAAGACATCTAGTTTGGGCCCTTGCTTCCCCTGAGACAAGGAACGGAGACCCAGGGGAAACTGTGCTCAGGGCAGATTAAGACCTCCAGTCCGTGGACACTCCGATACGGCCCCTGCCTGTAGTAGACATGGCAACATGGTGAGGGCCAGGGATAGAGTGGAAGGCCTCAGAAAGCACAGCTTCGGTGTGGCTGCAGGAGGCTGACAGGCCGCTAAGGAAGAGGGGTGGTCCTTGCAGAGGAACAATCGGGGAGACCCTGACTCCAGTCCTTCTACAGCCCAGAGACCATTGGATCTGCGAGGGGTTGGGAGCAAGGGCCTGAAGAACAGAGGTACCTACCACTAGAACAGAGAGAGACCTGGAGTCCAGGCTGCCTGACTCCTTTCATTATATAGACTGAAGGGGACATGGCTAAGGGAGTTGCCTTTGCCCCAGCCCTTCTGCTCAGCCCCCTCTGGGCCCCACCACCTCTCACATAAGACATTCCCAAGTGACATCTGGCCAATGGCAGGATGCGCCCAATGACATCATTTTCAGAGCTTTGAGGAGCTGGGACACAGAAGGGTCTAAGGGTCTGGGAGGGATGCATTAGCTCTGAGGCTGGGGTCAGAGGGAAAAAGCGAGGTGTAGGGAGAGCCTTCTTCTAGTTTTTCCTGCCCAGTCCTTAGCACCCCTAAACCTAGGGCTAGAGGACCCTCTGCCTTCATCCTAGGCCCTGGTGGTTGTATAATTCCACAGGCTGTTGACGTTACATAAGCCATCTGCACTGGCCAAGTCACTGCCAGGCCCTCTGTTGCTATTACCATGTCTGGGTAATTCAGCCCTGTAATATTTGTGTGTGTGTGTGTGTGTGCTGGGGCTGGGGGACAGAATATGTTTTTATTCCATCCAGTCCCATGTCTGACCAAAATGAAAACCAAACCAAAGCATCCTGCTGCAGGGTTGCCATAGTAACTCCCAACTGCAGGGGATGTATACAGATATCCAGAGAGGAATAAAGAAAGGAGGTGAGGGGGGTGTTTGGAGGGAGTGAAAGACCACCTTAAAGTGGACGGGTCTAGCACTGAAGGCAGAGCCACAGGCATTGCCGCTCAGGGTTCACCCTGGTCCCCAAGCAGGACTGACTCTCTCTCTCTCTCTCTCTCTCTCTCTCTCCCTTTTTTCTCTCTTCCCTTTCCTTTTCCCTTCCTCCTTCCTTCCTTTTTCACCCAGGGCCTAGGGCGCCTTGGAAGAGTTCTGTGATGCTACAGAAAGGGGCGAGGGGGCAGGCGACAGAAGAGGCAAGGAGAGCCTTGGGGTTGGGAACAGTCCTAGGCCTATTCCTTAAAACCGGCTGCTTGGTCCTCTGACATCAGCAAAGACCACAAGGACCTTTGCACTGGAGCCGGGAGAGGATGCTAAAAGTGGTCCGGAAAGCTTTATCAGGATGTCAGGGAGGCAGGGGTCCAGAGTGGAGGGTGACATGCCCCTACCTTTCCCTGGGTCATGCTGTCTCTCGAGGAAGGGGTCCCTGACGCGAGGGGTGGCCGCTTGGGTCACCGCAGCCTGCCTGCGTCTCTTCTTCCTCCGCGTGGATTCTAGCAACATCCACTGTAGCTCGGCCAGGCTTACCGGAGCGTACCATCCGCACACGGGGGTGGGGGTGGGGGAGGATGGTGCTGCAGACTCGGATGCTGCGGCCCAGGGCCGGGGCAAGACGTGCGCTTTCGCCTCTTCTGCCTCCTCCCTCCTTCAGCCACCCCCAGGGGACCTAGGAGCATTGCGCGGTGGAGCAGCAGGTGGATGGGTCCGCGCGGGGGGAGAGGGAGGGGGAGGGGGCGCGGGGGAGGCACCAGGACCCAGGACTCCCTGACACTCAGCTGATGCTGTCTGCCAGCGCCCGCCCGGAGCTAGTATGAGGGCCTCGGCGCAAGCGGCTACCGGCTACCAGCGGCGGCCTTGTTCCCCTCCCCATCCTCTTTGGATGGCCTGATTTGGCTCCTCCAGCACCCCCTCAGTATCTATCACATTGTTCACCGTAGTGTGAGAAAGTTCTGGACGGCTTGTCTACTCTATGGGGCCCCTGGGCCGCGGCCAGTCCCCAGCCACATCATTTGCCTGTGAAATGGAAGCAATAGCGCCCCCAACCCCTTCTCACAGGCGCGACCGACCGCGAGGGTGCACTTTCTGTCTCTTTCAACCTTGTTGAGACAGGTATTTCTGGAGACATCGCTAGCTCTGTCTCAAAGCCCCTGGCTCCTCCACTGTGTACCTTTTCTGAGCCTCCATCACTTCAATTTCATCTTTCCCCATTCCAGACTCCATCTACCCACTTGTCCTTGTCCTTGGGGCACAGTCAACACGAATTCCCATTTTCTGCAGTTCCCACAATGCCCCTGTGTGATTCGCAACCTCAAGAGCCCGGCTCAAGTCCCAGTTGAGTCACCCACTGGCTGTGTGACCTCGGCAGGGCTCTTACCCTCTCTGAGCTGCAGCATCTCCCAGGGGGCTAAAAGCAGGACTCTGTCCCCCGACGATTGTGAGCCCCATGGGGAATGGTGGCAAGAGCACACTGAACACGGGAAGTCCTGCCAGGGTGAGAGCTGTGAGAAACAGAGCAGGAATCGCTGTCTCCCGCAGCCCCAGGGCTGAGAGCTCGAGGTCCGAAGGGTCAACTCTCCTGGGAAATAAAACCTGGAGGACTAGCGAATAGCTTTCTGCTTTTCAGGGACCTCACGCCCAGGCCCTGCAGCCCAAACCCGCCTCTGCCAAGTAGCCCCTGGCTCCCGACACTGCTGCTCCAGCTGACCTCTCTCTCTGCACTCGAATTCTTCCTTCGGGAAGCCCGGTGCCGGCTTCACTACCTGGTTTCTGAGCCCCTAGTGTGGGGCCTGTCTCAGAACTGTGGGATTCCTTGTCTGTCTCATCACTGACGTTACTGTAGCAGGTCGAGTGTGAAATGCACTCAGCGCGCTGTTGCTATTGCCATGTCTGGGACGGCCGGCGTGACGCAGAGCCTGGCTTCGTGCTGTCATCATGTGTGTACATCCCACATGCTCTTCCTCTCCCCCACGCTCTGCTTTCGCTATGCTGGCTGTGCTCTCCCTTCCTGAGAGCAAACTGGCTTGGCTCAGGGCCTTTGTGCCTGCGGGGCCTCTTGCCCGGGGCACGGGGAGGTCCCACTCTTTGCTTGCATCACTGCTGTTGAGATGCGGTCTCAGGGGAGGTGGCGGGGGTCTCCCCCATCTTAGAGTCACGCAGCCTCAGCGGGCACAATAAAGCCCCATCCCTTTATTTCTGATCTATCATTACTTCTTCAGGGGCAATTGATACCTCAGATTTACACTGTTTTTATTTAGTTCTCCCTCCCCTGTTGTGGATGTAAACATGTGTTTGTTTTGGCCCCAGGTGTGGGATGTGGGCTGATTCGGATGGTCACAGCAGCAGACTATTTGCCTCATGTGGGCTCTGAGAGGGGCTCTTTGCCAGCTTCAGATAGTTTAAATCTGAGGACCCTGGAGAGAGAATAAACACCAGGGCCCAGAGAGAGTGAGCAGAGAAAGAACAAGGCTGCTCCTGCTTCCCCTTTGCTGCTCCTGGTTGCTGTTGTGAGACAAGAAGTTGGAGATCTCCTGAAACAAGGACTGGACTGGCTCCAAGGAACCTGCCGCCCTGACCAGCAGGAAGCAGCTAAGAGAAGTATGCCCCCTCTCCCACTAACCCTTTCCCTCCTACGTGGTGTTGGTGTTGCGATGTTGGAAGGCATTGGGGTGGAGTAGGGAGAAAAAGATAAAAGAAATGTAAATAAAAGAGTTTAAAAGTAAACTAACACCAACACTCCCCCATTTCCACCTGGGGCCTCATCCTGGAATCCCCAGCCCGGTGGATGGTTGTTACACTTGTTGGAGGTGGGAATGGAGGAGGAATTTCAAGGCTTTTGAGTGTGGTGCACGTTCAAAGACAGCTTTCACAAAGATGAAACCGGGGAGCGGTTTTGTCTTCAACAAGGAAGGGTCTAGTCTGAAGCGGTGTATGATGGGCGTGAGTCGGGGACAGATGAAGCTGCGGGGTCAAACGCGTGGACATTGTGATGGATTTGGTGTCAGGCTCAGAGCCCAGGGACAGGGGCAGCTCTCTGAGGCCCCAGCAGTGGCCTTGGGTGAAGCTTGCTTGCTTGATCTTCATTTCCTCATCCGTGCATGGACCGCTGTGATGACTCAGCCGGGTAGTTAACAGATCTCTGTACGGTTTGGGGATGAAAAGCAAGTTTTCTAAGACTAGGAAGAGCCTGAACAGGGTCGTGGGGACTTGGCTAGAGACTAGGCACACAATAAAGGAAGAGGGACAGCAGGAGGACGGAGAGCTGGAGGCTGAAAGCTCTGGGGACTGGGCTGCCATGTACGGGAGGAGTTGTGCTCAGGGAGCCTGGAGGTGTCGGGCTGGAGCCTCACAGAGGTCAGAGGGTGGTTCTGGCAGGACCTCTCCTGTGCAGCCTGGGAGAGGCCATCCTGTGGGTGCTCCCTGCTCCCTGCTCCCTGCTCCCTGCTCTGAATCCCTGATCAGGGCCTCAGAAGAAGCAATGGGCGGCCAGAATAAGACAGATGCAAGGTTCTACACAATTCTGGCTGAATTGTATGTGGATGGTGGCTGAACCTCGGAATACTCGAGGACGCCGTTGGAGAGGGAGGACAGAGAAAGGGGGTGAGCTGGCAGAGGCAATAGCTGAGGCTGGGGCACCCTTCTCTTCCCGGGGCAGGCAGCCCCCTTCTTCCCCGCCCCCATCTCTGGCAGGCTTTCCAGGTGAGAGAGGGCAGGAGGTGTGAGCTTGGCCACTTCCTCTCTGCTCCTTTCAGCCGCACACCTTGGCGGCCCAGCCCCGCTCCACTTTCTGCTCAGGTTGCAAGCCAGGTTGTTGGAAGCCAGTGCCAGTGCCAGGGATAGGGGGCGGGGTGGGGGGGTTGTGAGGGTGTGGAAAGAAGCCGCTTCTCACTTTACGGACGTGGAAGGGCCAGGCATAGAGGGTGAGCAACTAACCTAAAATAACGTGACTCACTGGGGGCCAAGCCAGGGCTGAGAGAGCTCTCAGCCCCGGGACCCTCAACCCGAGGCAGTGGCAGGGGGCACACACGTAGCCAGGGCAGGTAGAGAGACATAGGAAGGCTTCAGATATTTTGGGAGACAGAGCTGTGCAGTGCTGCATTCTTATCAGGTCTACCTACTTCCTGTTCCCCTCAGCATCTGTCTGGGGAGAGAGAGCTTGTGCCTTTTTTCCTTTCTCTCCTCCCCATCTTTCTCTTCTTTCTTTCCTTTTGTTTTTTTGTTTTTTTTTTTTTGTTTTTGTTTTTTTTTTTTTTTGAGATGATTTGTCTCTCTGGGACTCCACTCCTGCCCTGCTGTTGAGGCCAGTGGTAGATAACCAGGGCAGGGGCAGAACCCACAGAACAAGCCACAGACAGGGTGGTCCAGACAGCTCGGGCAGGGTGTTGCGCCAATGGCCCCATCCCTATGGCTGCTCCCCACAAACGCCAACACCGGCTATTCTGTGTAGCTTCCGCTCAGCACAGGGACCCCGCCCAGCATCCCTAACGAACACTCTGTGCTGCCGACCAGCCAGCGTTCCTCTTTGGCGAGTGTAGCTCAGTGGTAGAGCATTTGACAACAAAGCCCCTCTTTGCTGGGGTGTCCACTCCTGTCTCCCCACCCCTCCCCAGATACGGTCTGTAAAACATGGGATGTGGAAATCCCAGGCCTTAGGAAGCAGTGACATCCTCAATCTACTGCAGGGGCTGCTTGCAAGATGTGGGCCCATACTCCTCTCCCTGCCCTTTTGTTGTTGTTTAAGACAGGGCTTCTCTGTCCTGGAACTCACTCTGTAGACCAGGCTGGCCTTGAATTCAGAGATCTGCCTGTCTCTGCCTCCTGAGTGCTGGGATCAAAGGTGAGTGCCACCCATTGTCCCTGCCCTTCTTTCTGCCCTATGCCTAGGCTCTACTGGATCTAGGTTGGGGGTTGGGGGCGGGAGTCAGCCAGCAGGTGGGACTGGAGCAGGCCCTTGCTGAGGCAGGAGTAGGGTCTCCAGGCTCTGCCCACCCACCTGGTACCCCATCTTCCTGCTCTACTTCCTCTTGGCCCGGTCCATGTCCATTGCAAACTAGAATAATGATATGTAATGGGAGTGTTCCAGAAAAGCATGTTCCAGTTCAGACTTAGCCCCTCACTGGTGAGAGCCCAGACAAGTCCTCTCTTTTCTCTGGGTCTTGGTGCCAGCCCTGCCAGTTCCTGGAAAGGCCATGGGCTCCCTTTGCATCACACGTGCTGCTCTGTGTACCTTTCTGCTTATCCAGCAGGCAGAACTGCCTTAAAGGCACAGGCAGGCGGTGCGTCCTGATCCTCCTGTCTCTGCTGCATCTCTGGTCCTGATGGAGCTCAGTAATGAGGAACATAGGTGTTGAAATCAGATCGACATGGGTGTGAATTCTCGTTCCTCCCCTACCCAAGGAATGACCTTAGGTGGCTGTTGGACTTCTCTGAGCTTGCTTCCTGCTCTGTAAAGTAAACATACATCAGGTAACTTACTTACCCACTGACTTTTTCAGGCTAAGCTCAA